CCGCTCTTTGTTCTCCCGCAGTGTCTTGTACACCTGGAGACAGACACAGAGAGATTCACCCTGTGCACCTCCTGCAGCACCAAGGCACCATCCTGCTTCTACCCCCGACAGGCTCGTGTCAGAGTCATTAAGGTTGGAAAAGACCTTGAAGATCATCACATCCACCCGCAGCCCAACACCCCATCCTTCCTGCTTGCTCTGAAAAGCCACCTGCTTCCAAGCAGATGGACCACAAAACACCTCAGGGAAAACAAGTGCCCAGGGAGGTGTGTATGTAGAGCTGCAAGGGGAGTGCACACAGAACAAGGTCTGCTCTGCCATGGTCTGGTGGATCTCAGCTAGCTTCCACAAGCGAGCACCCAACCTCTCAGCAGATGTCTGGGCTGCAGAGGAAAAAGGCAGACTGAGAGGCAGCCCCAGCCCCACAGCTGCAGGCTGGGGCAGGGCACAACCATGGGCTGCAGGAAAGGAAGAGAAATGCCAGGCAAAGAGCCCAGAGCAGCTGGACAGAGAAAGCAAACCACCTGGCTGGCTTTCCTTAGGCCAGCAGTTAAGAGGCATGATGTCAGCAGTGTAACATGATGTCAGCAGCCTGCGTGTCTATGTCAGAGCCTGCAGCAGGGCCAGATGCCCTGACCTCCTGGAGAATGGCCTGTCCAACCCAGGATGCAGCACCAGCCCAGCCTGCAGGCTGGGGGGGAACAGCCCCAGGACACCGTGTCAGCCCGAAGGCCCCGAGGTGCTGGCAGCTCGTGGCAGGGGTTGTGTCCTCCCAGGGTCATGGATTAGAGGGAAGCAAACTGTTTTTCCCAGGCAAAACCCAGCCTTGCTGGTAATCCACATCACATGGGCACATGAGCCTCCACTGTGCATTGTTTATAAAAGAGGGAAAGAAACCTGTCAAGTCAGGCTGGAACAAACACCATCCACTGACTGCGTTTGGATTGTCAAAGAATATCAGAAGTGGGACGTTTCCAGTGAGAAAGAAAAGGCTCCTCAATATAAAGGCAGGACAGGAAAGGCTGCAGCTGGTGCCAGACCAGGTATGGCCAGCTCCCCCAGTGTTGTGGCATCCAAACTGGGTCTGAACACTTAATTCCTCCAGGGAACTGGAGCCTCAGCGACTCCCCAGACACCCTGTACTGCACCCACCCCCACGCTCGGGTGTTTTATAACACAGCAAATTGTCTCAGACAAGAGCTGAGGAACTGAAAGCCAGGCATCAACAAGAGCACATCCAGGGAACAGTGTCAAAAATACCAGAAAACAAGAGCTCACCAGTGTGGAACAGAACAAAGGTATTTTTAAAACCTTTTGCTTGAACACAGAAAAGTCAAGGTTAACAGAACTACCTCTGGCTTTGCAAGCAGAACTGGGCAGGTTTCAAGCAAGTCCAAAGGGCAGCAAATTAAACCTGATCCCTCAAGAAAAACAACTGTTATATAGATGGGAAAAAAACCCAATTCAGGTCTTCAGGATACATTTTTCCAAAGGGACAATGCCAGGATCTCGTGCCCTTCCGTGGTGCGCCAGCACTGCTGACACCAGGACAGATGTGCTCATTCATGTGTGCCTTTCTGGGTACAAATTGAAGGTGGCCAGTTTGGGGGCTAAGTTTATTTAAGGTGGAAATGTTCATTCTAAGGCAGGTTTGTTGTGGGTTTTTTTCTCACTGTTTGAGAAGATCAAATTTGTAAAATTAAATTACTTGACAAGTAATCAAAATCACTCAAAATCACTGTTCTGAGCCCAGGGAGCAAGATGGTTTAGCTGAAGCAAATGGCCACCAGGGTATGACAGGGAAAGGTGCCCTCCCTCCCTTCCCCCCTCCCAACCCACTCCCCAATTAACACACACTGATTAAGTGTCTTACATAGGCTCCTGTCCCAGTGACTGTTCCTCCTACAATTAAGTACAGCAAGAGGTTGCTGCCAGCTTTGCCAGGAACACCTGAGGACGCCAAGGATCTAGAAGGGCATCTGAGCTGAGGACACTGCAAAGCTGCAGGTGAAGACAGGCAAGGAGAGAGAAGAGAGGGAAGGAGCTGAATATTAAGAAGGACTCTTGATTAAGCAGGTCTTGGGAAAAGCAGGATGTGCTTTGCAATTTCAGTCACCTTCTTTGTCAAAAAGAGCACAGCAGGGCACAGTAAGGAATGTTTAAAGGGCGCAGGAAAAGGCTTTTCCTCCCTGCACTGATTTGAATTTCCCAGGAGCCTTCAGTGTGGGAATTGTTTCGTTAGGAGAAAACCAGGACTTGGAACTTTTTAATGAGTATGATCCTCTAGGACAAGGAATTTTGAAGCCAAGGTCTGTGTGATGCAAACTCAGGGTCTGCCCACTCTCAGGTGACACTGCAACTCTTCAGCTGCCTGGGAATGGGATTCACTGGGGCTGGGAAGTTTACCCCTTGGAGTGGGACACCAAAGGATGCTCAGCAGCATGGGGCTGAGGTGGGGTGCTCACACAAGCTTAACACTGAGGGCTGGGATTAGGATTTGGCCAGGAATGGGATACACTATCCACCTCCCTCTGGGCTACACACCAAGTACCAGACAACAAAGCTGCACCTGGCCACAGCAAGGGGACAAAAAGAAAAAGCCTTCCTAATGAAAAACACAAAAGGTAACTGAAATTACAGCTAAAAAAATAAATGATCATAAGAAGTTAATTTCCAGCCAGCTCAGTTAGCTCCCTTTGAAGTTTTCTGAAGGAGGAAAGAGCTACAGAGATGAAAAGGTAAGTCAAGTTAGCTGAGGTACAGCAAAGGCTTGAGAGGAGAGGTTGGGTTGCAGCTTCTCCCCAGGAACCACCTTTCTACTTACATAGGCACCCGCTCCTAAGGTGGACAAGCCCACAATAAGGACAAAAACAGAACTATCTCCTTTGCCCCCGGGCACACCAGCACTAGCCACTTGTCTGCTCAGCTGCAGTTCTAGGGGAACCTTCCAGCGCTGCAACAAGTTGCCTGAGGAACACAATTTATTAGAGAAAAAAAAAAACAACAACAAAACAGAACACAAAAAGACTGTCAGTGCCAAGTTAGGTTCTGAAACACAGAGACCAAGTCAGTCCTGAGACTGAGCTGCTCCCAGCACCACATCTGAGGGGCTGCAGGGAGTTACCCTCTGCCACAACAGAGGGCTCCAGGCAATTGTGGGCACCAAAAACATCTGCAAGATCAAAGGGTAACTGAACTAATTAATAGCAGGAACAACCTACGAGGAAGCTAGAAAGGCTGCAGGAGCCTTCGAGCCATGTATGGCTGAGGGAGCACATCACAGACATCCCTCTTCAGGCTCCTGCTGGGGGGGCTGGTGCCCTTTGCTCCTCCCTGTGCGAGCACAGACCCACGGAACCTCCTCTGGACCAGCAGCAGACCCTGGGGCGAGTGAAGGGGCTGCGGGG